ACTCGGCTACCCCGTCACTTGGGAGAGGAGGGCTTGCTCTAATAAGTAGTCATGCAACTCATGATGCGACTTTCACGGTGCAACTTGTTTTAACATAAACTTTTTTTTACAGTTGCTGACATTATTTGAGGCCACATATATTTTAAACGTAAACATAAATTTGGCTAAATTTTCCTTTCAAACGTTCATATTCTCTTCAGGACAGCTTTGTGGAAATACAACGCATGTGATTTTCTGTTCTGAATTGAGTTCTTTTTTTACAAGTTACGCAGTGTTTTTCGTATAAAGTTTGTGTAATGCAACAATTCTTTATTAGAATGCAATTAAATGCAAAGGTGCAAGCGAGCTGGACAAGAATGTTGAAAATAATCCCTGGAGAAGGGGAACAAGAGGGACAAAGGACAAACACAAATCTCCAAACACAGCTAGGTGACTGGTGAGCGACCGAAAAAATCCGCCTGGTCCGGGTATCGAACCCGGGACCTCTCCATTACAGGTGGCCGTAGAAATGCGATCGGACGATGATAATGCCTGGTGGCGGTGTGATGCAGTAAACAAAGCTTGGTAGAAGTATGCGAATGTAGAGACCCAGGAAGCTTTCACGAATTCGACGTCAAATTAAGGGGTGCCGGGCACACATCTCCGCTTTTTCTAAAGCTATAATGGCGCCATAGTTTGCGGCAAACAAATTAAACGCAGCAGAGGGTACCGCGATCACAAGGATGGACCTTTTGCGCAGTTATTCGCATAGTGCGCAAGGACATGGCGGTGGCAGAACGGCGACCCTATCTTAGCAGCCGTCTCATCTCAGGGGAAGCTCTCCCGTCGCCCGAAGCCGATTATAGTATCCCTTCAAACAACCTCAGCTTTGATGAACAATGCAGCCTGCACGCTCATGCGTCCCGCAGCTGGCAAGCACGAAGGCCGATATGTGCAGAATTCTTGTCCTCTGACGACCGTTTTGGGGAAGGTCACGCTAATCCGGCTTGAGGTGTCCTGTCAATAGCACTCCGTTTATCGTCAACATTTTAGGTTACAATAAATAGCAGTAAGTACGTTCCTGAAGGTACAAAGCCAGCCATCTCGCGTCCGCGCAAGCGGTTCCTCGTCTGTGTTTATTACTGCGGGGGTCATTTTCCTACCTTGCCAACGGCTGGAACGCGTACTTTGTCACGTCGAGGGTCGTGTGGACACATTCCTCTTTCGGATTCACCGAAAGATTTCGAAAAATCAGAAGCCGAACCCGATTTACGAGAGCAGAAGACCCGGCGCCCGGCTACTTCCGCAAGCGACGGAGCAAGCGAGAATCGAGATGGTCCTTTTATGACGTAGCGGCGCGTCACGCGTGGCTAGCCAATGGCGTGCCGCTGCGGCGATCGCTTCTGATTTCTTCGCTTTTTTTCGCGTTTAAGGATTATTTTGGGTCAAATGGTTGTGATATTTGAACTCAGCAGGCACAAACACGTCAGAATCAACCATTAACTCATTTTTTTCGAAAAGCTCTTCAGCTTCCCTTTAAAGGGGCACTGACACATCAAAATCATATTTTTTTTATTATCCGAAACGATTGAAAACGATGCCGGGACATTACCCTCAAAATTTGAAATTTGGGAATTCAGTATTCGTGAAGTAAAAAAACAATTTCCAAATGCCAAATTCGAAGTTCCCGCGCGATCGGCGCCGGTGCCTTGACGTCAAAAATCGCGGAGACATGAGAGTCGACTTCCTTTCACCACTCCCTGCTGTTGCCATGGCGACCCAAAGCGAGGAGGAAAGGAGCGGGCGGCGGCGTTCCGGCGGACCGGTTTTGAGCGGTGTCGCCTGTTTTCCGTTGGAGGATACAAATCCAGGAGACGGCACCACAACGAACTCCCGATTTTTGGTATTTCAAAAAGAAGGGCCGTACTGCGTTCGCAATTGCGTTAAAAAACATGTTTTAGGATTGTCGTAATTAAATGTTATAGAGATGTCGCCTACAAAGCTTCTAAATTTTATGATTCTTGACGTCACCGATCAAAAGAAGCGAGGAGGCGAGAGGCGGGAAAATCAAACGCCAAAAATAAAAAGGCGCGCGCGCGCGCGGGAAAGTTTTTTTTCGCGATGCGGTTTTTTTTTGCGTGTCTATGACTGCAACTTGCATCGTTTTAGACAATAAAAATAAATACGACCTTTGGGGTGTCAGTGCCCCTTTAAGAGAGCTCTAAAAAAATGTTTTCGTTGTTTCACTTTATGACATCCTTTTCCCATCCAGGTTCTTTAAAAAAAAAAAACTTTTGTTTTCTTTGCATATGTATTTTAATGTGTATTATACGTCTGTCACATTTGTAGTAAAAACAATGCCCGCCAGCATGTTCACAGCATGTAATATATATGTATGAAGCAAACATGCGTGAGACGTTTCCGCAGATACATATCTGTCATTGTGTCTTCAGCAAACTCCGTGTCTTTTCTAGGACGTACGAGCGGTGTCATGCGGCGTAAGCTCCACAGACCTTCTGATGATACCAATGCTTTTTGTTTCGGTATGTTTTTTGTCTCGCCATAAAGTATCTTGCTTTGGTTTAGATATCGATTGGTAGCGTTTAATTATTTGATTTGAATAGGAAAGTTAGATAATGTGACTACGCGTACGTCTCAAGCCGACAAAAATCATGAAGTCCTAAGGCTGTTCTTGAAAGTAGTTCTCACCTTGCAGAGAGAAGGTGCACGAAATAAGGTGGTTCCTCTATGTAACTTGTGCTCTGAAAGAAATTGAAGTAACTAAAACATCCAGCCTTAAAAAGAAATACACGTTCAGCCTTTCCACTCTCGTGAAGAAGGAAGAAAAGTTGAGCTGGGTGGGGGGGTATTCGATACACTGTGTGTTCCTTCTTCGTCGTCGTCTGTTTTTCGCGCTGTTTTTTTACGATGAATTCCCACCAACGCGCCCAACTATCCATTCTTCTATTACAGCTGGAAAGGTTGCCGCCATCTACGAGCGACGGCGGAAACCATACTGGTTGTGTGCTTGCCGCCGTCGCTTATAGATGGCGGTAGCTGTCCAGGTAGGTTTGTGTCGACATACACGACAACGATCCTGGGGAACCTAACCCTTAACAGCTCCGCTGTAAAAAAAAAAGAAAAAAAAAAAAAAAAAAAAAACAAGGGCTCACGTGCACCATTTTTAGCTATTTATACAAACTTTCTTTTAGTACTTTCTTCATATGTGAACATACAATTTCTTAACGTTTCGTTAAAGTAAAATAGACGTTCTTATTTATTAAAAAGTTTCGAATAGTTTAAATTCGGGAGTTGTATAGGTTGTTTTTCAAAAAGACGCAGGCGTCGTAGGTACGTATTGTTCTTCTAGTTATTGTTTGAAGATAAGATTAAACCACTTTTGGAGATAAAGGCCCCTTTAAACCAAGAAAAAAAAGTCCATGGGGATAACGTTATCGGCCGCGGCGGATATCATGGGGGAACGTTATATGAAAACAAAAATGCACAAAAATTGTAGTAACAAAAGTTTGTTCAAATAATGTCATAGCGTTTTTTTTTTTGTTTTTTTTTGTGGTCTTGTAATGAACTTTTCCAAAAACATACCTTCATTTTTATCTACCCAGTGTACAAGTTTCGGTTATTGGTAAATACTAGTCTATAAGTATTGCCCCAATTTTTTCCCGTTTCGCACCATCACGAAATAAAAATCACCAATATGTCACATCCCTCGGTGAGACGTGGAGCGTTTCAACTCTGCGTACTAATTTTGATTTTATACATATCAAATACAGGTGACCATCTTTACTGTACTAATTAAAAAATTCAGGCGTAAACAACATCGGTAAAACGAAGCGAACGTTAAGCAGCATATATTAAGACAGTCTGAGTTTCAGTTAATGTTTCTCCTCAGTGTTTACTACGTCGCATATTGATGGTGGGATAATATGTTTTGCTCTGCTTGTGTTTTTATTGATTTGTTATTGCACTTTTTTGTGGTTGTACATTTTAATAAATTTCTCAACAAGCTTTAAACAGTTTCTTTACACTTCATTTAGCTATGTTCATGGCCCTGTTCTACGGCCAAATCCTGTCGGAGCGCCAGAACGTCAACAGCCGTTTTATGTCCTGGCTTCCACGTTTATGTAAAAGACAGAGGAAAATAAAAGTATTAGTAGCACGACTAGTGGCGCAATCATTTTGAGTCACATACTCGCACTAAAGATGCGGCACTTGCGCGACAGCGTAAATTCATCATTACCAATCGCGAATAAAGAATTCCTTTTACTCGACTCGACAACTATCGTTCCTACAACCGGTTTTGACAACTAGAAAATGTAGAGTTGCCTAATCGAAATAATAGTTAAAAGTTATTAAGTAAATTTGACTTAATTATCTCAGAGAATAATTATTAAAATGTTAAGTTCCCTTTATGTCATTTCAGCAAAAACCGGCTTACAAATAAATATATTTATATCCAGAACACTTCTTCAGAAATTGTTGCAGACTGCGCTGTTAATAGAAGGCTATTCAAAATAAAGGATCATATTAAAAAAATTACAACTAAAATGCGGAGACAGGTTCCGGATATCACTAAATAGAAGGTACGAATTGCAAGAATTGCATGTCGACGCCAATAACATCTGGAACATGGAAACCGGTAGTTGCGAGTTGCAACATAGGCAGCTGAAAAGTAAACACAAACAGTTTGGCGTTTTCTTTTTTCTCATTTTCTGTGCTTGTGCCGTGTTCTGTGATCGTGTTTTGCCCCAGTTGTTCTGTGTTCCTGTTGTGTGCTCCGTCTCATTTATTTATTCGGACTTGTGTGCAAATTCAACATTTTTGGAAGCCTACCACGGCGTCGGCGTGAGATACAAAATAAAGTAACACGCGACCGTTCTATGATAAAAAAAAGAGCATTCTTCATGCAGGAAAACCCCTGCCGTTTTATTTTGTTTCTTTTCCTTTGGCGCCAAGGTTGTTTTTATCAGTCGCGCAGCTGTCGGCAGCAGATTGCAGCTAGAGATAGCAAGAGGGTCCGCACAGCATTGAAAACCACGTAAATCGTCCAGGCTGGAGCTCGCTTTTGTAGGCGTCATATTTCAGGCAGGAAGCTCACCCTCCGTTGCTTTCGGGAAAGCATTCGTTGTTTTCAAGTTTCACTAAACAGCACCATGTGGAAAATTGCGCCCTCAAGCCTCTTCTTGACTTTCGGTGAGCTTCCTACTACCTTTAATCATCGATCAAAAAGAAAAAAAAAAGAGGTGAAGTGTTGCGAGAAAGACAAAGACGAAAATGGTTTTAATTGTTCCGCTACCATCGCGATTCTGCCGCATTTTGCAGTGCCTTGACTTTTAGTGCGCGCTAGAACGTTATGCGTCGTCAAGAGACATCAGTGAACCTTCACGAAGAGCACTAAGGCATCCTCGTTTGTGCTGAACTTATGCAGAAGGTGGAGGAGCTTAAGAACAAGTAGTTCCCCTTGAAGTTTTGAAATGTGCACAGACCGTAAAATAGTTAACACGATATCTTGTCTTGCCAGTTATGGATGTTATTATGCTATTACTATGTGGCTATTATGTGAATGTGATAATTTTTATTTTGCGATTGCCAGGGAAAGGCAGGGGCGGCGGTGACATTTTAGAAGTTTTGACTAGATTTAAAAGTAATAAAAATGCACTGTTAAAGTACAAAACCTAGTAAAAAATATTGAACCAAGTAATAAAGAGATATAGCATTTCCGAATTCGACGGGGGCTCGCATTTACATCCTCTGCCGCAGAAAAGCGCACCAAGTCAGTCAGCTGCGGCTTGACTTTAGTAAACGTGAGTACGCTTGTAGCCGCCTAAAAATAGTCCCGTGTTTTGTCAAATATTCAACAAATGTTCTTGGGGTAAGATACTAAATACCTATTTGAAAATGTATTTGGAGTAGTATTTAAGTTACTTTTACCAAGAACTACCGTGAGTCGAGTGCAAATACCTTGAAAAAGAAATTGCATTGCAGTTGAATACACTCGGCTAGTAGATTGCAAGCTGGCTATATAATATTGAGCAATTCAAAAAGGGTTCTCTACTTGTAATGACTTCGCTGACAATCACATTCTGCTGTGATCTTTACGACCTTCAAGAAGCTGCTTAGGTTCTGCAATCGATGTTTACTTCTGAAATAATTCGGAAGGGGCAACATAAAGGGTACCTAAACATTTTAGGAACCAGGAGGACTCGCGTATTGTAGGCATGGCAACTGGCGTGCTTTAGTTTGGCGACAAACTCGGCTCATGACACATTCTGCAATACGTTCGTGATATGCCTTGACGCGATTCGACGGACTTGACATATAGTCCGGCATTGAACATTCCTAACAGGCGAACTAGGAGTTGATAAGGCAGCTAGATTTGATGATTTGACGCTCAGGAGAAACAGCAAGGACAGCAGCTTTTACCGCTGATTAACCACCAAGAGCGAGTATTTTGTCTCCAAAGCCAAGAGCAAGAGGAGCGCCTGTACCTTCAAACTGTTAAAAATACTAGGAAGATTAAGAGGGAAACATAAGTAACTCAAGGAAGTGTGCACAAAACCGCTTTCAATCCATGGCTTCATCTGGCGGAAAACTAGGTTGGAGTATTCTAAAATTGAAACAAGCTTGAGAGCCAAAGTAAAGCGACAATAGGCACACAAGGGGTTTTATGGAAGCCCAATTTAGGTCACTGCAGCTCAATAAAGCCAGCAGGACCTAGCTTCCTTGGCTGAGGGAGTGTTTTCACTCCCCTGAAAATTTTCTCGCGCGTTTTCATACACACTGAACGGGCGATTTCCGAAAATGCTTCATTGCGACCATTTTCGGCGTTGGCGTCACAATCTTCTGCTGACGGAACCAGTTTAGGATTAGACAAAAGGTGTAAAGTTTGATTAACGACACCAGTACTTTGCTAGCTCCAAGAGTAACGTGTCATCCAAAAGCAACTCGAAAACAAACAAAAAAGCGGACAAGGGGACATTTAAAAGCGGGCGTACTTGGGGCTATCTATTTTATCTTTTGTTGGCACTCTTAGACCGCATTTTGCTCGTGCGTTGTTTTCTGTCCTGTGTTTGGTCGCTGGCCTCCAACTCTGCAATCGGCTCAGCTCTGCCCTGGAGTCTGACGACCCCTAGTTCCGTAGATTGTTTCAGTGACAAATATTTTCGAAGGTTGGACAATGTATTTGAGATACTGAGTACAAGAAAGTGAAAAAGATTTAATTAAAATAGAGGAGCAAATACTTCAGACTAAATGTATTTGGAAGATATAAAAATACATACAAAAGTATTTGAAGCACAGTATCTTGAGTAGAGTATTTAAGATTGGTCAAATCTGAAAAATGCACGCTTGATTATGCTGAGAGAGACAAGAGAACACAGAATGTGTCTAGCACAAATCACACTCCGTGTGTGGTTTGTGCTAAATATTTCATTCTTCCCACTTTTTTAAAATTTAAACCTGTGTTAATATCATCTAAAACCTACTCCTCTCGCCGGCATGTTTGCATTCCAATAAAATAATTTACCCATTCAGACTACCATAGCTTCCTACCCAACATCTGGGTTTACTAGATTTTAAGAAAAAGCAGAGGAAAAAAGCTTGATTTGAGATATTTTTTGTATCTGTACTAACTTGAATGCTTACAGCTCAGACAATAGAAAACTAAGATGATAAACCTAAAAAAAAACAACACGTAAAGTACACTACATGAGGCGTTATGAGGGATGCTGTTGCAAAACCAAGTCTCCAAGTACTTGAAATAAAATGACCGAAAAAGATATACCTTCACGCGGAACGCGAAAAAGAAGTTGGCCGGTCATCTAAGACATAATGGCAGAGAACTGGCAGAGTAACAAGATACCCGGACGCCTTTTTATCCCACTACGACGAACTTTTCACGCAAATACCTTCTGCGCACCCTAGACAAAAAACTATATAATAAATAGAAGGAACACCCTCCATGCTGAGACCAGGAGAATCAACGAGTATCCCTCTACTGATGGAAGTGAAGAAAACAAGATATTGCTGAAATCGAAAGCCGGAAGACTCCAGGTCCAGATGAACTGCCAGCAAACTTCTACAAGAAGTAGAAAAAGGATCTTGCACCAATACTTCGTGTGTTCAATTAATCGTACGATAAAGGTTCCCTACCACTTTCATTTCAATAAGCACACACAATAATAACATTGAAGTCCAATGATTCTAACTAGCTACGACAAGTGCAAGGCGAGGGACGAGTAGCCTTATCAATTGTGAATATAGGCTATTTGCCGGACGAATTCCAAACTTGAAAGCAATACGGTCGCTAGTTACCACAAAACTTACTCCATAAAAGCAAGGAACGTACCAACAAACTTTCAGATTGTACAGTCTATATAGATATATGCCAACGAACCTCTCAAACAGCTACGATATTACAAAACGACCTTGCAAAATGTTTGGATAGGGTGGAGCATTCCCTTATTTTCTGAAGCGTGAAACATCCAAATAGGCGAAAATGCTGAGAAAAGCGTAACACTACAAAAAAAATATAAAAAAATAAAAAAAAAACAAGATTTGCTCAAGTTTAATGCTCGGTGCGTCAAGGATACTCCATCCCACCACTTCTCGAGGACATATATTTGGAGTCCCTCTGGATATGCATCGCAAGAAGCAGTATGGGCCACGGTTTTCGTCTCGATTGTTCTGAGGTGAACATCCTCGCTTATGCGGACGACCTTGCAATTGTGTGCGCAGATAAACCCAGTATAGAAAAAACACTGTCATGCATTTTATACTTACGTGCTTCGTCAATTGTGACTGTCAGCAAGGAAAAGAGTGGTGGCTCCTGTTGCAGGAAGTAGTGGACATCCCCATCCAATTTGGTGTACAACGAAAATGTCGCTACTTTTTGGCGTGCCATTGATTGCTATATACAAAATCCCAAGTCAATATGAAACAATGTCAAAACGAGTGCGAAATCTGCTTCTCGCATGTGTAACATTGGATTTATTTCGAACGTTGGTCGAGTTCCAGAATGTATCTCACCAAAATTAACGTGCTCCTTTCAGATCATGCATTGTTTAAGAGTGACCGTAAATATGTTTCATAGAATTTTTGCGACGTTTCTTTAAAGATCGTCTAATTGCCCATGCGAAGATCAAATTTCGTTTGATATGTTGAAGGTGGGGGTCTCGGCTTAGGACGCATTTTTGTATGGCAGTGATTGCCAGATGGGCGTTTATTTCAACAACAACGTTCGTTTCTTGAAATCTCCAGAAATATATTTTTTACAAAATATTTAGAGCCAGAGATTCAAATAGATGACGCACAAGACATAACAACGCTGCGAGGTTTTTATAAGAAAGTAGCAAACGCCATAGAATATTTTTTCCAAGTTAGATTTGATCCAGCCTATTTAGAGTCTTGCTCTAAAAGAGTTTAGTAAAGCAACCACTGATCTCATTGTTCCCACATTCGCTGTACTGTTTATGCCCTTTTAGTGATATCGGCGCGTGCCGATGTCACCAAAATGCAAGACGTTCATCTTTCGCTTTCATTTGATAACTCTGCAAGATAAAGAATGCCTTGAATTCCGGGGAATTTAATAACTGCAGTCAATGTACTGTAGACATACTAGGACAACTGAAACGTTAACGCACACTTTTGTTTTATGTGTCGATGCTGTTTTTTTATGTTTTCAAACGAACGCCAAAAAGCATTTTGAACTTGAAAAAATAAATATTCACTATTTATATTTCTACAACCACCTGGATATTGTGCTCGATACACTTGCAGTCTGAAGGCTTTACAGTCTGTTGAAACAATTAATACCGATACCGAAAGGGGAGTTGCCAAAGGCTTCTTGGTAAATTTCAAGAACATCGCGATTACAGTGGGGCAACAACTCATTCTTTGTATTTCTGAAGATGAAGAGTGGAAGGAAGTGGCGAGGAGTTTATATAGCCAGTGACAGGTTAATTAAGACCTTAGAAAAAGCTCCTTCCAGCTCTTACCATTCTAGCGGAGCGAATGCTAGAGAAGAGGCGAAATCCTCTCCGGTGTTCGCTCTATATACAAACTTTTCATATAATCTTAACGTATGTAACCCTGCAGCGTGTCACTCGTTCATGACGGCCACTATTACACTCGTTCTGACGCGCGTTCATGGCAATTTTCGCCTAAATACCGACTCATAAAACATACTCTGTGCTAAAAAAGAAAAAAAAACGTTTTGCAAAAACCTTTTTGATAAAAATTCACGCTACGCGTTCCTTACAAGTACCGCCAACTGTTGCGGTGCGAACGCTCAAGACAGGTATCACGAGTAAGTGCGCTGCCATTATTCGCTTCTAAGGACCGTTCCTTTAAATGCATCGCCGCCATTTTCTTCCAAGGGCTGCACGAGGCGCATGCCTCGTGCAGCCCTTGGAAGCCTGTGGCGCATTTGACGTATACTTTCATATACAAACGCGTCAAGGGTCTTTTAAGTTTATATGATTCGCAAAGTAGTTCGTTGAAACTATCGTTGTTAGAGGAGACCTACTTTATTAATTACAGTGGCCACACGAAAGCACGTGGCATCGGGTACTCTGGTACGTTCAGGCGAGCAATTGAAACGCACCTGCATCGCTGCAGTTTCTCATCGGGCCGTTAGGGTAATATGTTAGCGCCCGATGCCACACGCCCCTGCGTTCCTACTTGCTGTGACTAAGATGTTACACCCTTCAGATTTTTTAACAATACCCTGCGGGCGCCGACCGGCCGCTTGATCAGCGCACGATCACGGCGTGAAGCGGGCAAACCAACGAGAGTATGCGCGCTGGCAAAAGGCACGCGCGCTTACGCAGGGACGTCTGCTAGGCTGTTCTTTAAAGCACGACCCATCTCTGCTCTGTTATCTGCACCGCCGCCTCTCCACCACTAACCGGTGGTAAAGAAACGCCCCCTTCACAGCAAGACCGTAGTGGTGAACCCTCCTCACCGGTCTGTGGGGAAGAGGCGGCGGCGCGGTTAACAGGAGCAGAGTGGGTCGTGCTTTGGGGAACATCCTATGCCGGCACTGCTGTAAACAAACAAGTTCGGTTTTATAAATTTCATTAGGTTCTAACTGTTATGATTCGGCGCTGCATGTTGTTCCTGTACATAAAAATAATAATTAAATAATCGCTTGCACGTTCATCCAGGTGCTAGTAAAATCTTCATGCGAATCGGAGCTTACCGTGTGCCCCATCTTCTTTTTTTACTTCGTCGTTTTTTTTTTTTTTGTTTTTTTTTTTTTTGTGAGCTAACGGCGATATATTCAGGTTTCTTCAAAATACTATTTCCTTGGGGTTATGAGTTGCAATTAAATTAATAAATAAAGCGTGGGGATAGAGGTGTCTAGTCTTACGAACTCCAATACACGGTGAATACCACCAACGTAAATTCATTGTGTAATACGCTGGCCTCATTCTCAGTCTATCTCGTTGCAGCTATTGCACTTCACGGATGTCATGCATCGAAGGGAAGACAGGGGTCTCCGATGGTGTGCGCCAATGTACGTGTATCTCGTTGACTTTCCCTCACCTCGTCGTCACAGCTGCTTTCATGTGACACGTGTTATCTCAGGGCCGGCTCTAGAAAGAAAATAAACCGGCACCATGGAGGGGTTAATAATATTTTCGATAAGTAATGTACATTTTTTTTTAAAGCTTTACTGATTTGTTTTAGAAAAGCCGTCAAAGTTACACTTAAGCGTTTTGTACAGGTGAGTTATACGGCCAGGGGGACATTATGTGGGTGTCTAATCTTTGCGATAAATCAGCCAATTAATTAATATTCGTTAATGCACTTTATAATTAGTAAAATAGAGATATGGTTCCAATCAGAAACTTACAGAGCGTCACGAAAACCACTAAATCAACTCTTTTTAGAACGACGTGAAGCTCGTGGGAAACTCGGGGGGTGCGCCAAAGTTACCACTTGTGAAGCAGGCGCAAAGGTAGCAGTGGCGGAACGCGATGATTATTTATCATCCGCGTTGACTTTAAGGTCAACGCGGATGATAAAACCTTTGCATGTGAAAAAAACACTTTTTTTTAACAGCTTAGATGGAAAAAAATGTTATAAGGCGAATTTACAACGAAGAAAAAGAATTTAGAGCTATATTTATGGCGGAAAACGAATTTCAAGTTTGCGCCCGCGGGAGCCGCCGCGGGTCACGTGGTTGACCTGTGCGCCGTCGCGCTGCGCCGCCGCCGCCTCAAAGTCACGCCGCCGCCGCCATCGCCGCCGCTCAAGTTGGACTGCTCCGGGGCGCCGCCACCGTCATCTGATCGGCGCGCAGGTCTATCACATCTGCTCTTGCTTTTTCAGGAGCTTCCTTTGGGTTCTAAAAGTTACGTACTAATCTTCGTTTTTTGTTGTACTTTAGACGAAGATGACTAAGTAACTTTTAGAGACCATACGAAGATTCGGAAAGAGCGGAAGCGGCACGTGACAAATAGCAGCCAGTCACGTGATAATTAGCGGCTACTTTTCCGCTGCGCCCCCAAGCGCCAACTGCAAATTCGTATCGCGCCGTAAATATAGCTCTAATTTTTTTTGCGTTGTAAGATCGTTTTATGACTTCCTTTTCCCAACCAAACTGTTTAAAAAAAATTTTTTTTTCCTTTGCATGTGTTTTTTTAAGGCTATTTGACCTCACAGAGGCGTCAGTTAACTTGAATCGGAAAAGGAGTCCCTTGCCAGAGGATAAACTGGTTAAACCCTGAACCTGAAGCCGCCGGCACGCTTCTAATATACATCATGCAAAAGACAGCGTGCGGACACCGTCTGGGCTGTGCTTCTTTCTCGAATGGCGCTCCTGCCACTATGGTGCCTGGAACGCGTCTACGAATGGTGTGTTTACAGCGTCCAGAAAAGTGGTCCTTCGATTTTTGCCTGATGACGTCATAGAAGTATCATGCTGTCGCCAGTCGCGATCCTGGCGGCGTCCCGACAGCTGTGGTGTATGTGGCAGACGCCTGTTCTGCTGCAGGTCGTTCTCCAGTGAGGCAGTCCACGGAAGCTTCAGCAGCGAGAAGTTGGGACGCAGTGACGACAGTGAGACTCACGTTCGCTTGTGCTATTCGCAGCTCCTCATTAGCATTTCCACCACCAACCGTCAGGATCGCGTCATGCAACCGCATGACACTCCGGCATCTGTGACGCCATTTGTTGCCAATTCGAAATCACCTTTCGTGTTTGGGCAGCATAGGACTCTAAACACACCAGTCGAAGACGCGCTCCAGGCACCATATACTGTGACGTAGGCATAATCCACAGTTTTCGGATGTGCTCCAATCTTACTCATGTATGAAACAACCGTGCTTCGAACAACAATAATCTTGACGTCGTATCTGCAGCTAGCACCGTGTCTCTTGTAGTCTTGGACGTAACGCACTACCAGCTACGGCGATACCGGCAACGAGTAACATTCTTTGGTAACTTAGTAACGTACTCGTGATTTATTCGAAACAATAGGGAGTTGTAGCAGATCGTTTTCCTCCTCCGCTATGTTATCCCCGAAGAAAACGCCGCAGCTGCGCATGCGCGCCGCCAGCCCTCTCTGCATAGTGATCAAGGTCTTGCGGCGGATTACGGAGCGCTATCCGAGTGCTTAGCGGGCTGCGGGAACGGTCTACTACAATTCCCTAGTAACGCGTAACGTACTTCCGTTACGTATTTTTAATAAAGCGTAACGTAGTTAGGTTACTCGTTACCTGTCCTCCCCAAGACTTCGGTAAATTACTTTTTAGTACAGCCTATAGGAACAAACGCAAGCACTGTGCCTTTCGTTTGCGTTGCGTTCTACACGCTGCTCTTGCGCATCGTCGCCATGCGCCAATCCAAGACCGCAGTTTGGGCTCCGCGCACGCGCACTGTGGAACACGCAACGCTAACGAACAGAGCTTGCGTTCGCTAGTACAGGCAATACTAAAACTAGCTGTCGTCGCGTTTATAGGCACCAAGTCGTGAATTCTTTCACTCCAACCCCCATACCTTCATAATGTTGCCTCTTTTTCCCACATGCAACTGTAAAAAAGACGAGGTGATTATGTTATGATATGGCATGGAGATAGCAGGGAGTTTTAGTATTGCGTATAGGAGCACACGCAAAAGCTGTGCGTTCGCGTTAGGGTTGCGCGCTAAAAGCCGAACCAATTAAAGCTGTGTCTCATTTAATATCCTCACCACTCGTCTATATATTTAACGCCGGTTTAAGCAAGGGCATTTTTCCAGACAATGAAAATAGCGAGGGTTTGCGTTTTGCGCAAAGGTGGAGCGCTGAACGACCTGAGTAATTACCGACCCATATCGGTTTTACCTATGTTTTCTAAACTTTTGGAGAGACTTATATTCACCAAGCTCATCCACTTTCCTGGTGCAAATAATTTAATTGCAAGTCAATAATATGGGTTTCAAAAGAACAAATCAACGGAAATGAAAATAAAAGTATTAACAATGTATAGGAAATAAGCTTTTCACACTCGGAATTTTTTTAGACTATAGCAAGGCTTTATAAAGCACGATATTTTGTTAACAAAACTGCCAATGTATGTAATCAAAGGCACTGCATTGGCACTGATTCGTAGTTACTTATCGTCACGTTCTCAATATATGTTCGTAAATGGGATGCGTTAGCAGCTTGAAACAATTACTTATGGTGTACCGCGAGGATCTATTCTTGGTCGATTGTTATTTCTATTGTATATAAATGACATTGTAAATCTGCCGAATACACCATATATTCATTTGTACGGTGATAATACGAATGTATTTTTTTATTCAAACCTAATGAAGCTATAAACAATGTCAAATGAGTGGTTCATTGATTTACCCCTATGGTTACAGTCCAACAAACTTCAGTTGAACACTGGCAAGACAAAATATATTATTTTTAAGCCTAAAAATAAACCTATTGACTATCAAATAAAGGTAAATTTTGAAAGCACATTTATAAAAAACGTTAGGTCGCATAAATTTTGTGGTCTTTGTTTAGGTGAGAGTTTAACTTGGCCTCGACATGTGGAACACCTTCGTTCAAAGCTTTACCAATCTATCGGCATTTTTCGTAGAGTTCGGCTACTTCTGCCTTCTTGGTTGAAACGTCAGTTATATTATGCATTGTTACACACCCGTCTTAAGCACTATTCAATAATTTGGGAAACAACAACACAACTAAGCTTGACAAGTTACTAGTCCTACAGAAGAAAGCTGTCCGGTGCATAGATAGTCTAGGTAGTTACCGCATACTGCTGCTTCTTTTCTGAAAAAACAATACTCTTTCCTTCCAACAACATTATTACTTGAGAGTGACTCTAGAAAATTACACAGAATTTAAAAACAGCGAGTCTCTATTTCAAGAAAATTAACCACAAAAAACCACAGCAAAACCACATGACTTAATTACGTCATGGAAAATATGTTATAAAAAAAACTCCCCCAAATTATGGGTCTTAACTTTCGAGTTACATAATTCCTGGATTTTTATGTAGATTCCCAGAAACGGTAGTCATTATTACTGTCAATCACCTCGAAATTTATAAAACAAAATAAAGCCTTGCATATTAGGTCCTCAGCAATAATACGGCTCTCACCCTTCCTTCCTTTTTCTTTTCGTCTTCCCTTTGTTTTGTATAATTTATAGCACATATATCATCCCACTTTATGTTCAGATATATATATATATTCTTAGTTTGACATTAAGCCAATGCTACAAGTGCACCATTCGTTGCATGTCTGTAATTATGTCTCTTGTTGCTCTGCTGCTATAGCGCTGTAACGGGGACTGGAACATTGCCAGGCGGCTTTGGTCGCCTTTTGCTCCAGCCTCCCAGACCTCTCGTCTAAATAAAGAAACAAGCTCTGCTCACGCGCGTCATCACCATGCGCCAATCCAAGACGTTATGTAGACTCCCGCGCACGCGCAGTGTAATAAAACGCGACACAAACGCACAATGATGGGGTTTCCTCGAGAACGCAATACTAAAACTCACAAAAGTTTCTTTACATATGGCTCTTATGCATACCTGGTCTTCTGTACGATGCACGAGCAGTGTGTCCCCGGCTTTAGACTGAAAAGTGTACGTAAAGCCAATGCAACGCCGCCCGCAGAGAATGTGGCTCTACCAATGTTTTAACACTTCCGTCGGCCGAACTTGTCCCTCTGCCTCAGTCGTAACCACCTCCCACGCGTTTCTTCCATAGGACTCAAGCTGCTCAAACGGGCAACTTTGCGTGACCCATTACAAATACCTCCAAGGCCAGGCGTGCACCGAGGATAAATTCTGTAAGTCTAGGAAAAAAACAAACTGCTCGTCTGGGATTTCATTCGTTTCAAGGTCTCTCGGTGGAGGAGGACTTTAAATATCATGGAACTGCTCTTTGTTTTTTGCAGGTATTGACGTCTCGACCAGCACATGCTCGGTAAGCACGTTCTCAAAGAGGTTTAAGGCTATACAGGGTGTTTTTTTTTCCCTTTTTTGAATGATGCCAAATTATTTTTAAATAAGACGGGACACTTAGCACTAGACAACTAAGTCCTTTGCAGTAGCGTCAACCACCACGGAGGACGGCGGACGTGAGCTGATACTTACAAATTACATAAATTCTACTAGCGTTTTTTTTTTCAATATTCGCTTCAGTTCGCACATTTCAACAAGAAATATCTTGCCCGTCATCAGCATATGTCATAGCAATTGTTAAAATTCAGACATCTGGATTCTGCTTTGTGCTCTTTTGTTGCGAATTTAGGTTGCCAAGTTTCGTCAAACCGACAGTAAGGCAGAAAAGCGTGAAAAAGAATTTTATACTGTAATAAAATTTGGATACGTACACTGAAAAAAAATTTTCTTGTCCTGCTACATTTTCTTCTTCTCCGATTTTGATAAATGTATCTATCTTACTCACTTACTTCGTCATTCACACATGTGCTTGGTGCCGGCACCAGATGATTCCGCAGGTGTCTAAAAGAGCGCAATATGCTCTTATACTTGTATGGTACGAGCCAAGGGAAAAATCAAGCAGTGCGTGTGGCGCAACGTCATGGTCCTCGCCGTCATTTTGTAGATGCTCATTTTCCAGCTCATCTAGCTAAGAGCAGAAACTTTGTGCTTTTAGTTTATTCGCATGCTCTTCTTTGTCTTTTAGGCTTTGAACGCGCTGTCACTTGAAGTGAAACGAAGCATAATTGCGCTGGTCTTAATATGCAACAAAACTTGATTGAAATAATGTTGAAAATTTTTCAATAGTGCTTATCAGGTTATACCTGCCGTAAGAAGAACTGCCCCTCATCGCCATTTGAATGTAAGTAGAACTGTTTTCCGAAGCCCTTCTTGATTTTAAGATATCGCTGCATTATTCGAACACCAGCTTGGTGCTCGAACATCAGCGGTGGATATGTGTTAACGAACCGCAGCTGCGAGCACGTCGAGTAAACGCTCACACGGCAGAACCCAGGCACTCTGCACAATCCCCATTCCTGCCTGTTTCTATCTGCATGGCAATGCTTTTGTTTATTCTATTTTCTTTATTGAATGATCTCGAAGCATCTAATTATTGAATGGCAAGGGTCTATCGTATGGAAGTTCTCTTCTAAGTTCTAAGCGTTAGCGTCACCAACCTTTTTCAATATTGAGTTTCAATATTTTCAGGTATTCTGGCTGAAGACCAGGTCAGCAGATGTGAGGGACCAAACGTATGTATAGCTACTGCATCTAACCGTATAGTCAGCGTAGATTAAAATAAAGTCGCTGAACGCTCCCAGAGCACCGCAGATTAAACTAAAGTCGCTGAACCAGAGAATCGACACCGTCGAATGGTTTGATACGCTGATATCAGTCATCTGAATCATGGGAGAAAAAAACGTTTTCATACAACGCCGTGTACTATATCTGGCTGCATAGTGTATTCCCGGGCTGCCATAGCTACATGTAGACGATGCTTATTTGAGCGTGCTGACAACCCACCACGTTGATTTCGCGAAATAGTTTTTTTTTACCTTCTACGAGCAATCGGTTACTTTACATAGAAAGTTAACTCATACCTTGATCATTTTAAGAAAACTGGTGAACTCAGAATATGTCGTACATGAATTATGCGTGCGTTGTGATTTAATGTGCTTGTTTACGGAATACTTTGGGCAGTTTCGGGGGTGTTCCAAGCTCGACGCAGCTCGTACGTTCATCTGAATGATCAATCAGAAATATCGAGAAAAAAAGTTAAACTTCATTAAGGAGCAGTGGCATGGTCAGATCACGTAGAGCTACGCTTCGTGATTCGGAAGCCAACTGCGCACGTCCAAAGCAGGATCTGCTGAGTTTTACTTGGTTCAGCTGCTTGCTCTCTTGTTCGCCTCCTCTCAGGGACGCCGAACAAAGGCGCCGGGCTGCGGATCGCATAATCCGCGATTTGATTCTCTCTTTGCCGCTTGGTAAATCTCGTTCATTAGGAAAAAGTGGGATAAATTATAAGTATAACTATGCTTCTTTGTGCTTGGTATGCGTATTTATTGGCTTTCGTGGGCTCTGTATATTTTATGTTGCTTTGGCCCGCCTAATTTCCTTAGCATGATGTCCAGTTCATAAACAGATTTTATGTTAAAGGAACAATAAGCGTACGTAAAATGTTTAGGTTGGATTACGACCAGACCGGTCGAAAGGAAAGAAGCACGTTAGATTTTGCTGAAACTTTCCATGACCACTGTCAGGGATGGGCAAAATACATGCAAATATGTATCGAAATACAAATACAAAATACTTCGTCAAAATGTATTTTATTACAAATCTAATTACATTTCCAAGAAAGCATTTAAATACAAGATACAAATACAACCAAATGTATTTGGTCTCCTCCAAATACTTTTCCAAATACATTCCTCAAAATTTCCGTCAGCGACTTCAGGGCACCCGCAACAAGTTTCTGGGCATCTCATTTTAATTTTGCATCGCACACTCTGGAGTTAGTGTGCGAGGCTCTAGTAACGTAATTGAAATATAATTAAAAAAATGTAATCAGCTTGGATGTAATAGGTGAAAAAATTAGAGCTTCAAGCAGCTTTTTTTTGTGGATTATATTTTGGTAAAGACCAACAAAGAACCGAGACGACCGACACGCGCATCACTAGCTAGAGAATTTTTTATTGTTGCAACTCCCACCAGTTACGAAAATCTGGACGACCCGCGCATTTAGAATGTTCCAGGCAAAAATATGGATGGAAATCAGGCTGGAAAGCATCACACGTTGTCACAGGCACTTACTTAGCCAGTCTGCCTGTGAAAGTAGATTTCGTCACCATTCCTGCCCTGCACTAGCACCGTAATCACAAAGTCACTAAACGCTTGTGCTTGATTGAGAGACACTGCATTCGGTGCGGAACGTAGTTTTCTTCCTGCTCTGGACAGTGCCTTTGTAATAAAGCCGGAGGAGAAAAAGAAAAAAAGCCCCATGGCCGAATAAAGGACGGAGACTATATCTTACAACCACATGCACAAAAACAAGATGTATTTTCGCCCACAAAATTGTATTTAATTATAATTGTATTTGAAATACCCACGTTTTAGTATTTAAATACACACGTCAAATACATTGCCCAATTTGTAATTAAATACAAATGCAAAATACACAAAGTATTTGAAATACGTATTTCAAATACTTGTACTTGAAATACTGCCCATCCCTGACCACTGTCATAAAAAGCCCCAGTGCTATACTCCAGTTTTCTTGAACTAGCAATCCGGTCACTGATTAAATGCGCCAGATATAAATTAAGTGATATACGGCCCTGGTTCAATCATTTGAAAGTAGGGCTGGGCGTCGATTAAAACTTTTAACCCGATGAATCGCCACCATTTAGTCGATTAATTAAACGATTAAAAGGTCGCGTACATTTCCATGCACAAAATATTAAAAAAAAGAGTGTTCTCTCTTATTCTTGATGAATATAAACGGCGCAATATACAATTTACATTTCGAATCAACCTCGATGTGAGTTGAGAACGGTTCAAAGACGCTCACAGGTTATTACTTCTGCTGCATGAGGCAAAGAGGTCCGTTTCTATTCACCGGCAAGAGCGACCTCTTTTGAATGTTCACAAGAGTCCCTGCTGTCCTAAACGGACACTCGAACGGCGTTGACATGACTGGGACACGTTTAGCATTCTGCAATTGTCTTGAGTCAGAAATCTCGCCTCTGCAGTTTACTTTAGGGTAAAATTTAACCTTAAGTGTACGTGTCATAAAGGTGTACTCGTACCCATCTGCGTGGTGAAAGCGTTGAATATTTACTTTCTTTTGTTTCGGCAAAAATTAGCCAATTAACCGGTTAAAAAGTTAACCGCGATTAAAGCATTATTCGATTAATAGGTAGGTTAATCAATCAATTTCCCAGCCCTATTTCAAAGTCTGCATTGGTTTTGCCCACTTTAATGACAATTCTAGATGAAGAACTTGGGCAGCAGGTAGTCTTTAAATTGGGAGTGCTTATCCCTTAAACAAATAGCTGTCCTTTTACACAATCTCGCCAATGAATATGCCACGAGGGTTAATATCTGAACAAAATTTCTCGCCTGAAATTGTTTTTTGTTTCTTTTACAGAGTTTCGTGTGCCCCCAGAACGAATACTGCGCTTACCGGTTTCAGGACCTATATTGCTACACATGCCCCTGCTATGATGCCTACAACACTACATGTGAGTTACTCGTAAAATGTACCATTTTAATAAATTGAAGAATGAGCGGCAAAGATATGGCTTTCAAAACTTGATGCATGTTTTTTTCTTATTTTTTTTTTTGTTATTTGCTGATCCGGTTTAAGTAGATGTTGTTTTTCCTCACTCATTGAGACAAACTGGATCAAGCAGTGAGTAAAATGTTTTAGGTGCTGGGACTACGGGAGGCGTTGTTACTCGAGTAATCCCGGCACTCGAAGGCTGGGAATATCCATTTGCGTTTGAGAGCGGTAGATACATTGAATTTTCAAAAGCAAAGGACCTTGAGTAAAACGAGCGTAACTGCAATCCAATCAACAATGCCTAATGCTCACCACCAGCAAACATTAGTATCCTTCTCATTTTCAACAGTATTTTTTTTTTCATTTATTTTTTCTTGTTTAATTATTTTTTCTCCTAGCGTAATTTCTCACTTTTAATGATAATCTGTCTTTTTTTATATGAGAATCGGCGAGTGACTAAAAAAAAAGGTGAAACATTTAGCAAAGTAAGAAGCAACCATTTAAGAAGCATTAAATGTAGCACTAAGTTACGAAAGGTACTACCGGATCCCGTTGAATTTCGAACAGCGAAGCACGTGACCTTTGTTACACGCTGCGCTTCCTGGAGGCAAGTATAGTCGGTGACAGGTTAAGAGTTCAAGGGAGCCTCTTTCCACTTCTTTCCACCTTCGCTAAACGAACACTGTCATATATAGTAAAGATAAGGAGAAGTAGAAGTGGGACACCGAATAGTCGCTGTCCTGTGCCCCTAGTCCTCGTCTTTTCGGTATATACGCTGCCATGTTCAACCAAATAGCCCACCAGATGATTCTGCTTGAGCGATCGGTGGAGGGATGGCGACCTCTCCAGCGTTCGCTCTGCTCAAATAGGAAGAGGTGGGAGGAGCTTCTGGACTCTTCACCTGTCAGCTGTCGCCGACTATATACCGTTTTTCTTGGCCGCCGCCTTGTTCAATTGTTAGTGACTGAGTTTGGGCAAAAAAGCAAATAACTTTATTTGCCCATTGGAAAGCGCTAGAATTAAAGGGGTTGGTACCAATAGTTATACTTTTTCTTGGCTTTTTGTAGCTATGCATAGACTATGTACTTTAGTTTTTGTCGCTCAACCCAACTACGTCATATATAAACATGGCAAACGTTACACGAAAGCGGTTTTTAGAAACTAAGAGGTCGAAAGGAATCTACGAGGGGGCGCGTCTACCTTTTGGTTTTGTGCTATCCAGAACTGAAGCAATAAATATTGGGTATGCCTGGGAGTGGCGTCTGCATGCCTCAAACGTGAGCTATTACTCTGGTGGCGCCGCTCAGCCTTGTTTCTGAAGCAAGAAATGCTGGGTAGGCCAAGAAGCCATGATCGCATAACATGCCAGTGCGGCGGAAGCTACGCCTTGGCTGGCCGATCGGAACATGACTAGATGTCACCGCAGTGCACTTTTACTGAGAAGTGTCAAGCTTTTTGCTGCGTCATGCTCCGATATATGTGCGTTGCGCTCGCTCGCATAGAGAAATATTAAAGCCGTAGGCACGCAATGTTTGGGCTTATCCTTCACCCTTTGCCAATTTACAACGAGACAGGGTATAGCCGTGGGCTCTCACCCTGCTTGCATCACCTGGCTGGCGCCGGCTGGCTATATGTCCACCCTAGTGGCTCTCCTTCTACTACGCGGTTTTATCAGTTCCTATACTTCGTTTCATCTTGCTGAATAGCAGCGGAAGGTTAGGGACCTCAACTGCCCATCAAGCTCCAGTTTAGAAGTGATGTCACCTGGCTCGTCAGGCGCGTATCAGTGCGCGAGTTAAAATGGCGCTGGATAGAAGTTCGACGAGGTGACGGTGCGGATATAACGTTTTCTGTCTGCGATGTTCGAGAAAACTCTGACTTGTGTACTTCGCTCGATTCACTGCACAAACTCAAGTGCCTTTGGTTATCGGGGCTGAAACCTCTTGACGTACCGAGGTTGACGCGAAGCATTGCAGTCTCCATTTTGTGAGTAATAATGTCATGGCACGTTACACAGAAGCCTAGCATGTTGAGCAGAAGCAGGCTCCGCAGAAGCTCTGCCTTTACTTTCTCTGCCACAAGGAAAATTTGAGACTTTTCCGACACTCAAAAGATCGACTATAGGCTTAAACAGTGGAACGTTGACTCAAATCTAACCGCCTTGAGAAATGTCTTGCCTCCATGGACTTGCCGGCCAGAACTCGAGTGTCGGATGTGAAAGTGCCGATGAAGGTTTGCTCCACTGCACTATAGGGGGCTGATGGGAAGTGACTCACAAAGCATATGCGACGGAATTAAGCTGATTTTGTTCTTTTCCCAACGCCATTAAAGGCAAGAGGAGCTGCCGAATAAACATATTTTTGCCAGCGACACCAGATATGCTACCAATGACACTGTTTGGATTCACCACTGTCATCAACCCGCTGTGCCGTGGCGATCCCGGCGACACACGCTTCCGAAGCGGTATCAACGCTATCAACGTCTGATACCCAAAGATCCCCTCGAGAGGGTTTCGATCTGTGCAAAATTGAACCTATCCATTCTTTAATATTTTTTTTTTATTTCAGAAATTATTTTAATCAGTCCTCTCGTACTTCAAGAAACAGTGAACGAAAGAGAGCGCAGTCAGCGCAATTACAACTGCCAGGTGATATTTTAAACAAGCAGCAGGGTCATTTTAAAGATGTTTTTTACGTAATAACTTTTGAATAGAAAATTTTTATTCTGACGATTTTTTGTAAGACTTCACATCGGCCATGGTACCATGAATGTTGAAAAAGCGAACATGACGGTAACGCTAGCATTGTCAACCAGAAGCCTAATTTCTCCAAACATCCACCATATTTATATAATAAATATTACGTTTGAGAGCTTCTTTAGAACACACATGATGTGTCACTGGTACAAAACACGAACAAAACGTCAAAGGGGAACTCCGGCCGTTTTTCGAGCTACCAAAACAAAGTGTATTTTCTGAATACACGTATTTAGTCTTCACGCCACACGGTATGATATTTATTTTGTCGAAACTTAAACTAGCGATTCATAAAACCGTAAATGAAGATCATGATGAAACCAAATTTCCATTTCCAGTGGTGTGACGTCACAAATTATACAGACTTTAAGGTCGCACACGTAGTCTTAAATAAAGTCTGCCAAGCTTTTTTTTTTTTGTGATTGTCAGTGAATGAGCTTTCCAGCATTATTTTACCGCCATCAAACGTCTCGTAATCCTTTGGGAACTGGGTTGACTGTTCACTTTGTACCATTTCTGTCGTCACATTTCAGTGTTGCCGGGAGGGGCTTTCGGTTTGAGAAACAAGATGAGAACGTAATATAAAAAAATGCAGTAACTTCGAGATTTTATTCTATTTTCGCACAATACTTAGGGGACTTGTACAGCCATGTCTGTCGATGCGTTGAGCCAATCATAAGGCAAAATCAGCGACTATAAAAAAATCGCTGGGGTACCCCTGCCTTGTCCTATCAGTTTTTGACTCACTACTTTGCGATGCGTAAGAATGTCTTGCCAGGGCCGTGTCACAGCCTCTTACCTTACGCTGCGGTTCAACGCAAGATGAAATTAAGTATATTTGTCTCTAAGTTCGAAAATCACGTATCGAAAATCGCGCGCTCCGCTGCTCACATTTCATTCGTGCCCGATAGTATTCAAGAGAGACTCTTGTCAAATGCACTGCTACAAGCCAACGTTACTAGAACAGCTATAGGTCGTTTGTATTATATAAAATATAACCCAGATTGTTTACATGGCAGTTTTCTCAGGCTTGTATCGCTTCATTGAGCACAAAATTAATTCGGCGCAACATGTCTTTATGCAGGGCCTCTCGGTAGAGCGTAATTTTTGTCAGTTTATACAGTTCTGTGCTCGTATCTTTGAGCACGAGGGCAAATTGATCACTGTGTTTAGACATGACTGAAACATTTGATAAAGTGAACCATAAATTGCTTCTAGTTAAGAAGTCTGAATATGGCTTAACTGATGGGAACATATGTAATGGTCCTAAACTTATTTTCCGGAGTGCTCAAACTTTGTTGGCATACGGGAAGCCTTGTCGGTCCCGTACACGTCAACCTCTGGAGTCTATCAGGGATATAACTTTGGTACTCTTTTGCACAATACATTTGAAAATGATCTCTTTGATTTTGTTATGTTTCCTCAATTGCTGCCGTATGCTTGAAATGTAAAAAATATTCCACAAGATAGAAGCCCACTGTGAGATTGATATTACCGTGGTGAAACTGTGGTTCTCAAATAATTGTCTTAAACTAAATAAAAAAAAACTAACGTTATCACATTCAGTAGAAAAAATTAAGTACCCTTACATGTCCCCGATGCCTGAAATAGAAAGAACATCTGTCGTACGGGGCCTTGGAGTGTTATGAGATTCCGCCCCTTGAATGGGCACTCTCGTTAATGCTGGGGTGGTCTCATCATTGAGGATGCTCGGCATGGCGTCATGAATTACGTGAGAGTTTAAAATCAAATCAAAATCTGCGATTTTAATGCTAAATTGCTTTGTCCGCTCAAGTTTTTAATTAGCTTCTGCGGCATGGAATTCACATAATTTTTCAGCAGTGAAAGCGTCTAGACAGTTTTTATTCATTTAATTTATGACCAAATGAGTAAAATGGTTATGAAAACATTTTCCGAAAGAAGAGATCTCCATGATTTCTTGATTTTGCCCAAATTTGAAACGGCAATGTGTCACGCTAGAGTGTATTACTCACCAAAAGCATTTGTTTGCCTTCTCGCTATTTGAGGTCAATGGAACTGTTTCATGTTGGTGGGCGCTCCCAGCTTTCGCCTCTCACTCGAATAGAAGTTTAGTTTAAGAGTATTTCGACACCTTCGATTGACACGTTAATGAATGTAAGCTGTTTTAAAAAAACCTGGTAGCGCCAGAACTATAAAATGATGTGTGAGTTTGTTTTCTGTGTTTCTTCATTCGGTATTTTGAGTGTACAACGCTATTTTTTGTCTGTAAGTTCCTTTGTTAGTGTTTGGATGCACAACCGGGAAGGCGTGATGCTGTTGGTGGGCATCAATAAATAAAAATCAACGTAAATATAAGAAAAAGAGAAGCTCAGTTGGGAATTTCCCATTAAATGTTTGGAGAACTGGCTCCAACCCGTACTTCAAAACAGAACCGTATGCCATCGCTGCCGTCGCCGTCGTTTTAGCCGCCACGGCCACTCCGGCAACTACACAAACCTGGACGGAAATGGAAGCAAAAAGAACAGGAAAAAAATCTCGCATATGTCTGTCAAGCGAACTTTCGCTCGCTCCATTTTTCTCGAAACAAACTGCGTACCGCCAACTGTTCAACGAACTGCAAACAGACTAACGGAACGGACATACCGCCAAAGAGCGGCGCTGTTTTAAACTAATAAGGGTCCCAGTGATTCGGTTCCGCTGTACGCAGGGGGTTCGCGTTCTGAAGGGCGAGCTTTTGCAACCGAGTTGTCCTATGCTCCGTTTCACTTGAGTCCGAGCGCTGCTGACGTCACGATCCTGTGGGCCCAATTAAGCTTTAGCGCCAAAAGGCAACGTAATGATCACCGCCTAAACTGATCACGCACAACAGTGAATGCTCCGCTATCCTGCGCTACATCTGAGCGCGATTGGTTTAACCGGCTGTTTAAAACGCACAAAGACGACAAGCGCCGTGACGACGACGTAGTTTTCATGTCGCTTGAATTACCTAATCGCAGCGTAGCATCGGTCCTGAGACCGGACTTACAAGCGTGTGTGTGTAAGTCCTGTCTCAGGGCGCCGCCATCTTTCTCAGTTGGAATGGGCTTGAACGCGGCACAATCCAACTGCGATTGCGTGCTGGTTGCATTGGGCGCGTTCAGTAGCGCCTCCCTTGCCTCCGAACAGAGTGACTCGATCGAGTCAGAGCTCTTTGGATTTTCTCGCCGGAAATCGTCACCAGTCAGGAAATGACGTCATCTTTAACTCCTTTGACTCTACGTGCACCGACTTCGGTCTCGGTGCTTCGGAGCTTTACTCCGAAGCCCCGGAGTTACGTGCACCGAAAGTGACTTTTGGCAGTCCAGTGGAAGGAGTCAGTGACTCCTTTACTCCGGGGCCGCTACTGAACGCACCCATTGGCTGCAGTATCAGCTCAAGGGTGAACGGAGTATAGTTGACGAACCGGACGGGTGAAAGAAACGAAGGAAGCTCTCGTTTTACATTCCCTAACGGTGTTGAAACGTTTAAAGGTATGCTGGTATGTTTCATTTGTACGGGGAGTTAGAATCAAGGCGCGTTTTCACCAGAAACCCCCAAACTACCGCAGGCAACGCCGTGCTTCGTCCGTACACCGTTCTACTCGAGTGGAGGTGAAACGAAGACCCTGGCGGCGCCACCACCGCGGAGTGATACCAGATGGCTCTAAAGCAGGGAACGCCTTCTAACGGAGCCCTCTAATCTCGGGGACTTGTCCGTCCGTCAGTCCGTGCAAGTCTCCGTTAAGTTTAGCACGGAAATTGACGTCACGTGCGCTCTACACTAATTCAATTCCCCAGCCAAATTAAGTGGGAAAATTGACGTCACGTGATATATAGTCGGTGAGAGGTTAAAAACGCAATAGGTGCTCCGCTTCCAGATAACACCTCGACGCACGCGTCACCAAAGCCTGGAAAGGCAACGAGCGCGTGTATGAGGCTGCATTCCTAGCTTGTCGCCGACTACAAACACCAGTTAAGTTTTTTCGTTAGGTTTGGCGGCGACACTGATGAACAATGGGTTCGCCTTCCCTCCCCCAAAACGACTGTTTAGTGTGTTCTAAACAAATATTCACGGTCGCTACTTCCACATTCCATCCATTGTGGAACTTTGTAAATAAAGGTCGCTATCCATTTTATAACCGACGTTTTTCTTCTCATCCAGGCGTGAAGGACAAGTGTGGAGCTGGCAGCCTCGCCATAATTACGTCCAGGAGCTACACGTGCGATGGATGTGCATCGGCGGTATCTGTTCTCACCGGCATTAGGGAAAAACGCACGGGATGAACCTGTACAAGCCCGTGCTATGAGCTTAGTAAATGAATAAACTGGTATAAAGAATGTTCGCGACACTGCCTAATGTTGGCCGTCGTTTTTGTTTGCTTTTTTCCTTTGATTAGGGGGGGGGGGCAGTTTCTAAATATAAGAAACAAAAGCCTCGCGTAAAACATCGAATACGCAAACAGGTGGACCTGATCCATTACTGTAGTTAGCTGCTTCTCATTCAAGCCACTGTTTTCAGTGCAATGACTGTTTCTAATTGCAATGTTTGTTTTTAGTGCAATTGTCGTTTTAGTGCAATGATCGTTTTTAGTGCAATAATAATTTTAAGAGCAATGATTGCTTTTGAGTGCAGTGATTGTTTGCAGTGCAACAATAGTCTAAGGAAAATATATATTTATATAAATATATTCTATTTTACTCTAGTGCTATCTTTTCCAGCACAAACATAGCGCGCCGCTCCAACGCCATACAGACGCTGTTCATTTCAAGTAAACTGCGAACAGATGACTCGCGCAGGAGGAAGGACAAGTAGGGCAACTAAGGAAGCCAAACCTACCTCAAGCTTTCGCCGCTGCGTTAGGAGAGCCTCTGCGCCAACGAAAAGGGGTTCTAGGAAAGTGCCCATTTAGTTAAGCCTCCACGCTCGTGGTACAGACATCGTTGTTACTCAATACATCAAACGGAATGTAATGCCTGCGACACACGGTCAAATACATTACGTGGAAGTTCTGTTTGGGACTCAATAGGATGAGACGAAGAGATACTTTGAAGAGGCGCCTTAAAACGATTTTTGGGGGTGTCGCCCTAGAAAATCTGTGGGAAACGAACAGCCGCGGGTATTTTTTGAGGTAAAGCCCCAATATATTGGGTGTTCCAAGTCACCATGCTCGATCAGAAATGGACGAAAAATTCGACGCCTGCATGTAGTATTCTAAACTTTTCGTCAAAGGTGCATTTCCCAGGTCGGTTTTTTTCTTGTAAAATTACAACGCGTAGCTCTTTTGGTGTACAATATACGGACAAGAAACTTCCCAGGGTTTACGGCAGGCGGCGAAGAAGACAACACAAGCCGAGCACGAAGCATTATTTCACCATCAAAACGCGACGCAATGCACTGGCCAGAACACCTATCGAAACTGAGACTGCAAGATAATGTTGCTCAACATCCGCCCAGATTTTTAATGTTGTTTACAGTAGTATTTTCGAGATTATTAAGGACATTTAATGTCTATTTCAATATTGCAAATTTGTAGTGCGCAAGTTGAGCTAACCTGGTCGATCGTGGCTCTTAACCACATAATCAGACATAAATACATGAGATCTGTATAAGATTTGTATTTTTTTTTTGACTAATTTAGTTTACTTCTTGCTCTGAACCCCCTGACTATATGGAAGCACCCATTGGTTACCCAACTCTGCGAGAAAGTTATCAGTGCTTCAAAAAGTACTCACTATTGAGTTCTGCTTGGTTCCTAGCCCCACTGGAATAGAAGGCAATGAGGACGTTACCGAGCTTCGCGTACCTGCATAAACAGGGTGATCGACGTCAGCAGCATTCTGGTCACTCATTACAAAGAAACTTTAAAAAAAAAGGTAAAATATTTATGGGAATTTCATCCCAACAACAAGCTTCATTTTACAGCGAAGGTGTACATGGTAAGAGTTCCGTGGATTTTTTATGTGCGTAAACATAAACCCGCACCGCCCTCTCTTTGTAGTCCTTCCAAGCGCTTGCGTGCCTAGTTTCCTTCCGTTGTCCCAGGGTGGCAGTCCCGTCGCGCGTGTCTACTTTCCGCCGGGGGCCGGTCCCGTCGTGCGTGTGCCGTCGGCAAGAACGGCAGCGAGAATGTCAGCGGCGGCGGCGGGCGGCTAAAGGCCTGTCCAAACAGGACACTACAAAACTCACGACTCCGGCAGATCGTTAAAATTGAAGCGGGATTTTGATTATGTTACTGAATCTGAACGAAAATGAATCTATGGGACCTGATTTGCCTAATGCATTTTTAGGCGGAACGCACAATGGGTATTTAGGTTTTTATTTCTCATTTATAAAAAAAAATCTTAGTGTGAAGGCTCTCTCCCTGAGGACTGGAAAACGGCAAAAATTAGACCTTTACATAAATCTGGAAATAAGCATCTCGATGCCAACTATAAACCAATTTCTCTTACTTTCACGTCGTCCAAGCTACTCGAACATGTTATTCAACCCATATTTTTTTCAGTTTCATGAAAAAAAAAAATACGGTTCTAACCCAAAGGCAACACGGTTTCGGGTGTGGTTATTCCACAATCACACAGTTAGTGAAAATGACACATGATTTTGCGTCATCCATAAATAAAAGCGGTCAAATTGACTTTATTTTACTTTTTTTTAGATTTTGCGAAGGCCTTTGTCAAAGTCTCGTATAGCAAGCTAGGAACCAGATTTCAAGAAATCTTAAGAAGTAATCAACTAGTGTAATGGACTGTGGCGTACCTCTCTAATAGACCACAGTATGTGGGTTTTAGCAAGGCTGCTTCGGATAGGGTGACTGTTGACTCGGGAATTCCCCAAGGATCAGTTCTGGGGCATCTTTTGTTTTTACTTATTAACGACACTGTGAATATTATTTCCATAAAACTAACGCTCTATACTGACGATTGTGCAGTTTATTACAAGGTGAATTGTTCTAGTGATCAGTATAAGTTAAGTGAAGATCTAGGTATGATTAATAACTGGTGTAGCTCTCGGCAGATGTGCATAAATTATGAAAAAATTGTTTTTATCTCTGTTACTCACAAAAAAAGGTCCCCCCAGATTAAATATAACATAGGAAGCCACAATCTAATAGAAGTTTCTGGAATCAGAATACAAATATTTGGGGATCTGGATTACCAACCACCTCTGCTAGAATATGCAAATACTCCACCTCTGAAACAAAATTACTCGCTTATAAAACTATTATTCGGCCTGTATTAGTATGCGGTAACGTCATCTGGGGGCCCATTTACAAAGTTAAATTTGGCGAAACTAGACAGAATTCAAAACAAAGCTGCTAGGTTTATTTTTAATACCTATGGGAGGACATCAATACACAGTCTTGTTGAAATAGTTGGCCTCCAGTGAACGAAAGAAAGAAATCGAGTGTGCAGATTAAATTTTTTATGTCAGATTATTCATGGGCATTTTAAAATTAATATGCATGACTACATAACTTTTTCACAATAGAAGGCTATTCTACAAGACAAAAATATAGTCTATTCATAGTTCCATTAATGCCTCAGAATAATTATTTCAATTTTTCGTTTTTTCTGTGCACTGTGGAGGAGTGGAACGGGCTTCCTCGAGAGACTGTGGACTTAGGAACTCTTGATTTGTTTGTCGCGCGTTTAGTATAATTTATTCTGTTTTGCAACTGTGTGGTGGAGGATGTGAGTGCCTGCATAATTGACCTTGTGTATTATGTTTCATTATGTTTGTGTCCCGCCTGCTATAATCTCCATGTGAGATTAGCAGTATTTCTAAATAAAATAATAAATAATGTGAACAAGGACACCCGAAACAGGGCCATTGCAGGGAACGATCGAAGGCAGCTCCCCCGGCTTGCAGATATTTGTAAAGTTTTAATTGCAGATCGCGTGTCGACGATTCTGTCCTTTGTCTAGAACTGTAAATAGCGAAGCCAAGATGGGCTCAAAGCCGGAGCGATTCGATCAATGATTAAACGATTCGAAATCGACGCGTGAGCATGTTTCAGCCATAGAAATTGAAGCTTTTCTTTCCAGCCACGTTATGTACTAATTTGCAAAAAAAAACAAAAAAAAAAAAAAGAACTTAGCCGCGTTATGACGGTCAACATAGGTTTACGGCTCTCTACTATCCCGCAGGGGATCGTGATTAAGGAAATTGATAGAACTTAGCGGTCTGTCGAGTAGACCGCCATGTGCGGCGAAAAGCTAATCCTCGTTTGGCAACCAGGGAAGAAAAGACGGCGTCGGCTTGATCGACCAAAACTTTTATTCTCTTTAAGAAAATCACTTTGTTTATGAGCGTTCGATGATATTACTTCGAAATCTTTAACATTCAAAAGTGGGATTACCGCTGGACGTCCCCGGAGCAGTGGTGGCTACAACAGCCAGGTTCACGCCGGCGAAAGTGAGTCTTCTTCACGGGCGGTGGTGCACCTTCAGTGTTTCCACTACCGAGGAGATGGGGCTCAGTGTTTCCGTTTACTCGACGAGAAAGCACGGCCATGGCCGCAGCCTGTGAGCTCATACGGACCCTAGCGAGACTTGCGGAGCCGCGCGCCAGCGTGCAGTTGAGAGCGTTGCAACCCGGCTTCGCATCAGTGACCGCGATGCCGAACTTGACGGCGTCGATTCCCGCATTTTCTGGCTAGTCGTCGGCAGCGGGTGTCATGAGAGAAATTGCGCGGTCCTGGGTATCACATGTCAACATGGTAGCGGCGCAGGCTGGTTGGAGCAATGGAATAACGTTCGCGGTTGCGTCCTCGAAGGTGAGCGGGACGGCTCTCAAGTGATATCGAGCGACCGGGTAGCGATTGGAAATCTGGTCTAGAGCAATGCACGGGCTCGGGCCGGCCCAAAAGCCCGGGCCCGGCCCGGCCCGCGGGCCGGGCTCGGGCCGGGTACCACGTATTTTTTAGGGCCCGAGCCGTGCCTGGTCAGTCGTGTGCCGTAAATTTGAAATCGCGTCGGCCCGGGTCGTGTGCCGTAAATTTAAATTCAAAGGTATCCATGCTAAAGTCCGTCTGCTTCCAGTTCGAGGAGATAGAAGCTCTACTGGAGTCAAGGAACAATATATTGATGGAAAGCGTGAACAAGACAACACTCAACGAGTTAATCGTGTTCCTGCAACCCTTCAAAGATGCTACCGATGCGCTCGAAGGGGAAATACGTCCAACACTTCCTCTGGTTGTCCTTTACGCTTCTGCGTTGAAGAAACATCTTAAACCTAGTGCGGCGGTGTCTGCTGTAGAGGCAGTGGAAATCGAGAAGATCAAGTCCCGTGCTCGTCATTTCCTGGACACAAGGATGAAAATTTCCCTCCTCCACAAGACCGCCACAT